TCTTTTAGAAAATCTAGAGAATCTATTATCTTAGAAACTTCCTGGGTGGTGTAAATAGTTAAACCCGCTCCATGATTAGCTAGAAAGTTGACAGTTCAAACCCACCCAGAGGTAGCTCAGAAAGACTTGGCAATCTGCCGCTGACAGGTCAAAGCCTTACAGATCCTAGACAGTACAGTTCTACTCTATGCATACAGAGTGTCCAGGAGTCCAAAGTAACTGGAATGTAACTAGTTTTATTGGTTTATGAGCTTAACAGATGAAGAAAAACAAGAAATAGATCTGGCAATGATTATGCTACATTAAAAAAAATTTCAGCCTCAGAAAGTCTCCTTCCATCCTGCAAGGAAGTCTTCATTGAACTATGCCTAAAATCTCACCAATTAAAAACTGAGGTTAAAATATTCTACAGATTTATACACTGGGGGAAAAGCTAAACATACTCTAGTACTGTAAAATAGTTATCTCTGAATGGTAGCAGTGTAGAAAAAATTTCCAGATCTTCTAAAAATACATTGTATTCACAATCAAAGTATCACTACACTGTGCTTAAAAATGCAAATAAAATGAAAGTCAAAAATTACTTTCTGGTAAATTAATCAGGTTGCATATGGCTGATACCTGCTGCACTAAGGTTACAGACCACTTGACCAGTGGGCAGAAGAGGATTTTCATGAATAGTGAGGTTCGGATGGGAGAAGGGGCGAGAGGATTATGACAACATAAAGGTACTGAGGACCTATAGAGAAAGTTAACAAAGTGGTGGTGGAAGGAAACAAAACTAAAATAAAGGAAAACCCACCTAGTATTCCAGAATTTTGCTTAGAGCTTGTTCTATTACTGAGGATAGGAAACTATCTACTTCCCTATTTTATACTGATTACAACCTACCCCAAAAGCCCAGAACTAAAGCTAGTTGTACTGGATCCATGAAGCCATGCTGACATTTGTAACAGTTCCCCAGGGGAAAATGTAACTGATTATCAAGTGTCTACCACATAATATAATCATAAATCGAGGGCCGTCTACATGGTTTTTAGCTACAAGCCAGATAATTCCTCATACACGGACAACAGTCATGCAAACAAATACTATTACAAATCATCGTATCACTATATGGATGTCACCACCACATTAAAACACGAAAAATGAAGATCAAAAAAACTATATTCAAATTTTCTTGCAAAATGTATATATGCAGTAGCATATAAAGGGATTAATGTTTTTGGAGTTCTGGCAATTTATAGTCTATAAACCGATTCTTTTTGTAATCCCACTTTTTAAATAAGTGGGAATATAAAGTTCTCTACATTAAAACAGTGGCTTTCAAACTTATAGAGGTTGTAGAACCCTTTTTCATCACTTATTATGTCATTAAATACCAATTCCTAGTATGACAGAAGCCCTGGAGGTGTAGTGGTTACATGCTGGGCTGCAATCCACATGGTCGACAGTTCGAAAACACCAGCAGCTCCACGGCAGACTGGGCTTTCTACTGCAGTAAACCGTCTCAGTAACCCACAGGGAGTGCTCCGAGTCAGGTTTAGGCGCTAGGGATGGAATGACAGGGCAAACACATTCTAATCTGACCACATTGTTTTTAATAAGCTTAGCGATGTGTTCAAATATTAGGATTCCATGAAGACAATGTGAAAACCAGCGGTAGAGTGGATAGTCTTTGGTCTCCATAGACTTCATAATATAAATTCATACTAAAAAGCTTAGATACCTTCCATGTCAGGAGGTACAAGGCGGTCACAGCAGAGAAGGCAGACGGATCAGAGAAATTAAGCATAGGCCTGATTCTGAGTTTTTAAGGTGCCTAATTAACTGTGTCACACATATCCTTCAAATACCACGTTAAAATGAGAGGCTAGTTAGCAATGGTGTTCTCTTGATTGAAATGCATTAGTGAAATATCAGAAGTCACAAATACGGTTTAACGAAGAGCATTTCCTTATTCACATCACCTAGGAAGAATGGACATATACAGAGTCAGGTTGCAATCAAGGCTTATCAGTATGTAACTCCTCATCCATTAAAGGGACAACAACACAATTTCGGAGCACCTACTGTGAAGACAAAAATGTGTTAGGAAGTTGACATGTCCCATTTTATCCTGAACAGGCTTTTGCGTAGGCAATGTTTTCAATTAGGAGACCACTGAACAAACCTGGCCAAGTTCAAACAATTCTAGGGGCGCTGGAATGGGAGCAGTGGTTCCTAAGGCCGCACTTCCGCCACAGCTCCACCTGAGAGCACACCAAAAGGCTAAATGAGAGGAGGGTGCTGTCGGGATGAAAACCAAGTATACAAATGAAAGACAATCTGATGTCACACAGCCCTAGGTTTAACAGATGGATTACTCAAGAAACCAAGGTTTCATGCCTCTAAACTCATCTCTCATTCATTCAAACAACTATTTCTCTTTTATCTACATTGAGGCCCAGGATGGTACAATTACAAGGCGATTTCAAAATGCTCATGACAAAAGGCCATTATTTGTTCATTCCAATCCTCCCCTCTCCCCCCACCCAGAATTTTCTTAAGCCCCTTCATAGATATTCACTTTTGGGTGCTCAGGCTGTCTACTTAAATATGTTTGCTTTATTCTAAGGAGGTGCTTTTTAATTATGTCGCAGTAAATTATACAGGGATATAAACATTTGTTTATCAAGGCTGACTGAAACAGTTGAAGACCAAACACAGACTGTCTGGTAAAAAGTTGCAAGTGCAACCTGAAGATCAACAACTAACAAATTACTCCTCAGGAACCCTGGTGGTGTAGTGAGCTACAAATTGAGCTACTACCTCAAGGTCAAAGGTCTGAACCCACCAGAAGCTCCTCAGGAGAAAGGCGAGGCTAATCTAACTCCTCCAGCCCCGAGAGCTTTCCATTATCAAACTTAATGCTTCAGCTCCCTACATATGGACCTCCACACTGCCTACTTTCAAACATCTCCAGGGAGGTTATGGTCCCTGACAGCGATAGCTCAATAGGACCGTTCCAGATTCTACTTAGAAAATGTACTTATACTTCATGTAGGAGAGTTGGCAGCACAGAGAGAACCAAGTGAAGCGTTTAGAGTAAGAATAAAAGAAAAAAAGACCTGAAAATAAAAAATCCTGTTTCTCAAACTTAAATACACCGTGGTTCTGTTTTACAAGAGAAAATAAGATGCTAGTTTTAAGAGATACAGATTTAAGAAATTAACACATTCTATATGAAGATATAATTCATTTATGCTTGCTCCTATTTTTGAAAGATTCTTCCATGTGATTTTTAAAAGCATTAAAAATGAAAACACAAGATTAAAATAGTTTATAGATCTGTGTCTCAGGAGTACATCCACTCATATCTAGGAAGTTAGAAACTTAGTTTCAAAAACACTGGGCTTGAAAATGATTCTTCAATGAAACTAACTTACAGTTTATAATACATTTCTCCATTCTTTCCACCCTTATTCTACTATAAAGTCACTTCTGTTGGTACTTCTGGAAATACAAAATTCATTGAGGTGGAAAAACAAGGAGTTCATTTCAGAAAGAATTTCCTTTTCTTTTTTTCCCTAATAAAAAACTGCTGGCTAAAAGAAACACCAAACACCTCTACCATATGCAGGAGGTTTTCTGAAGGAAAGTTCGGACTCAGTCTACCACTTGTGTCTATTTCTGCACACCAAGATAAATGCCGCCTTTACCTTGGTGTTTTCTTCGTTTGGATGAAGGCTCATCTCCCTCAGAGTTCATGCTGTAACTAGAGAGATGGATCAAAGAAGTCTGGCTCAGGTGGTCAGGTCTCCAGTATAAGTACTGAAACTGAGTTCTAGACTCAAACAAACAAGCTGGTCTCCAATTGAGTGAGAAATGCCTACTACTGAAGTATGGATAAGGAGCACGAGAATAATGTCCAGGCCACCTCATACAACTAGAAATATGTCTGTTCCAGCAACACCTCTGCAGATTCTCCCACGGTGTCGTCCAGTCTCTGGCCAGACTCCTCGGGTGATGGGGTAACATGGGGTATCTAAAAGAAACAAATACACTCCTTGAGGCACCACTTTTTCTTCGGCTAGAATACAAGGGGGGGCCTTTAAAAGTTTGTGGGAAAATTCCATTATCCTTTCATTCTATGCTTCCACAAACTCTTTGAAGCCCCCTCATACAGACTCTAAATCTCATGTTTCCTCAAGGGAAGATAATGGCACTTAATCTGGCTTCTGTATCTGTCAAGGACGGATGAGAAAACACTCACGGTGTAACTATCAGTCATATGTCAATATTCTCTCCTTACCTAACCAGGAATGGTATTCTAAAAACTTAACCTAAAATACCACCCAGGCTCCCCAAACACCACATACCCTTTAAAAAGTCCACAGTTCACCTTGGGGATGAATCAACCATCAAACGTATTCAGAGCAGCTTTCTAGCACCTAATAAAACTCAATGGAAGAATGAAATCCACAACAAGCATGACACTTACACCAAATATGGAACATATATCTGAATGCAATTTCAGTAAAGCTCTGCTTACAACTTGGGTTTGGGATTAAAAAAATAATAATAACACGCCTTTCTCAGCAGTTTCTATACCAATGTTAGCTTTTCCCAACAGTTGTAGATCCAAGGGGGGGAAAATGCCCATCACAGCATCACAAAATTACTTTCTCTTGCTAATCAGTGGGTGGATAGTTTCTTTTTCCATTTTTTTCGAAAAGCAAGCAAGCCCATGCCACCCCTTGGGGAAGAGAATAGAGACTGTGTACTAGGACTTCAGTAACATTCCACCGCCAATAGCACCAAGAACCCATCACCCCAAACATCTTCAAAATGGTACTAACAAGTTGGCTTACGAAGCAATGCCACTTATGCACCATGTTCTTCATACTATAATCTTCTGGCAAAATGCTGAGGCTCAAACAAACACTTGGTCTTATCCTTTCTACCAGACTACATTCAAGGTACTTTTCCAAGACAGGGGTAACAACAGCCATTTCCAACCCCGAAGGAATGTGAGGCAAATTGCATCTCTTACTTGCTTTTTGTTTCCATGTTCTACTATATATTTTTTTCAGTTCATGCATTCTCCAATTATTCTCTATAAATACAACTGACTTCTTAATTTTTAAAGGCAACACATGGCAGTCTGTCCTGAGATAACTCCCAAAGTCATAGATGTCAGCACCTACTCTAATAAGCACCTATTCTAATAAGCTACTGTATGGAAATGAAACGCTGCTACTACCGCGCTTACCCTCGACATTTCCTATCACTTATACAGATACTATAAGGAGCCCCGGTGGCACAGACGTTAAAGTATCTGAGGGCGGTTCACTCCACCGACCATTCTGCGGGACAAAGATGTGGCCGTGAGCTCCTCAGACAGTTACAGCCTTGGAGCTCGGCGTGGCAGGTCTACGCTGCCCCATCGGCTCCCTGTGAGTCGAATCTATTCCAGGAAAGTGGGTTTGGTGCTTGGTAGACAGATGTCATTTCCCCTTAAGACAACGTGCTCTTTCCGAATCAAGTCTCCGCTTGCAGCACAGCGCCTGGCACACAGCTGTCACGCAGAAAACGTCCCAGGGAACTGCAGTCCCAGGCCTCCAGGTGTGAAAGCGGATCCCCATGCCTTTGGAAACAAGATTGCGCTGTGCGCCCCTAGTTCGAACGTCTACTTTATACGACAGACACCTTTTTTTGAATTTTATTATCTAAGAATTTATTTTCAAGTGTAAGGGGGGGGGGCATGACAAAAGCAACATCAGTACGACATCCTGAAGATTTCCGATATTGCTCGGGGCAACATTAACGTGGGTAGTAATCTATAGCTTTTTTTTCTCCCTAAGAAAAATACCCAGTAGGTGGTAATGAGTACAAGTAGAGGAGGGATTCTGTAATGATTATAAAGGCTGTATTCAAGTGATCTCAGTTTGACAGGCACAAAGGCCCCCAGCAGACCAACCTCGGGACGAGGGTGCGGCGCGCGC